TAAACACTGTGGTCAATCAATAATAAACCCGGCGTTTCAAATATCCAAAGCAATGCACAGCTAAACAAATGTCCACATGTCCTTTTTCTTTTACTGATTGAATCAAGCGCTGCAAGTTCTTAATTCAACTGCCTCAGCTCATATCTCAGAATAACTTGAAAAGCACTGTAGAATTAATTCTTTTTTGAGAAATATGCGCACAAACCCTAGTTCTTGATTAAATTGTCAGAGAAGCGTCCGCCTGATCAAAACCTGAGCCAACTCAAACAAACCCTAAGCAATCTGTTTGAACTGCTTTAAAATCAAAGAAAACCCTAAATTTTGTCTGACTGACGAGAAAAGTCTGTTTGACCGATTCTTGAGCCAGTCTGAAAAAAATCAGGAAAAGCCCGAAGCTGTGATTTCTTGTGGAAAAATACGAGGGCAAATTTTGGGGTACAACAATCAGGTTAGCTTCCTTGAGTCGCTAGGAAGCTAATGCAATGCTTAGCTTGAGTTGAGAGTGGCTGAAATGGCCTGGAGAAGTCCAACTGCAATGCTCTATTTTTGGTTATGGGGGATGATGGAAATGGATTTATAGTCGTGTAACAGGGATATGTATGGTTTGTATTTGATGTAAGGAAGCTTTAGGAACTAAAAGGCTAAATAAGGCACGAGGGAAATATGAGTTTGGAGTTCAAGGTCAGAAACTGTGCAACAATGGAGTTTTTGGGCAATTTCTGATTTGAGGTAGTTTGGGAGTGTTTCAGGGTGTTCAAGCTCGTGTCTTAGGTTGCATAATAGTGTCTCAATGTATAGGAAAAGTTTTTGAGAGTTTTTGCTGATCAGAAGTACAAGTTCAAATGTTATGGCTTTTTTGCTTGATTTTGAAGAAAGCTTGAGAAATGTGGTTCCAATGCACAAGTATAAAGCTATCTAGAGTGATTAGGAACTTTAAACATTCTTATCTGATTGTGTAGAGGATGTTTGTGCAGAAAGAACAAATGCAAAGCTTAAGACAAGTTGACTTTGTGATTAAAGCCTCTTTACTAGAATGGCAATGTTACTTTGTGTCATTAATGGAAATGCAACTTGGATAATGGCTCAAATGCTTGGAAAATGACCCTATAAGTTGTGAAAAACATTAATTATGGAGTGACAAACAAGTTTGAGGCCTGCAAAGCAAAGATTATGCAGCCTAGCATGGATTTGGTTCATGTGTTCTTCACAAAATGGCTTGTAATTCAAGTTTGAAAACCCTAACTTCTTGCCTTCGATTCTCCTTGCTCAAACATGATCTCAATGACTTCTGGAAAATTTTGGAAATCTTGTAACATCCTCTACAACCTATATGTTGGATATTTTTGAAAATTCATCATGGAACTATGTGAAAAATTTCCATGAAGTTAGGTCAAAATCCTGCCTAAACTAGGGCAAAATTTTATTAAGTTTCCAAGTTTCATGAACATGTATTCACAAAATCATAACTTGAAATACATGCATTTCTAGGAGAAGTTATGTTCTACAATGTTTTAGATCTCATTGAGATTTACAACCTTAATGTTGGAAATTTACTTTGAATCATCTTGCATCATGATGGAAATTTGGCTCAAAGTTATGAAATAATATGAAATTTTCAACACTTAGAAAAATTTCTAAGTTTAGAAATTTTGACTTTTCAAAATGAAATCTTGACTTTTTGATTTCTTGATGAACAAGTTTCATATTTTGACATGTTTTGATGAATTGTGATCTTTGACACTTGATTTTGACTAAAAAGTCAAAGTTTGACTTTTCAGTGTACAATTGACTTTTGATCAGTTGACTGAAAATTCATCTATCAATCAATTGGTCTTGAGAAATATTTTTGAGCCATGTAATTAGGTCAAAATGATGCATTTGAATCCTTGAGATCATAAATTAAACCAACCAAATAATTTGCTAGGCCCTTAAATCAGAAATTGCCCTTTCTCAGTCAAAACCCTAATTTTGACCATTTTGTCGTTCTGATGATCTGATCAAATTTCTTGAGGAATTGTGATCCAAACTTGATCAAATGACATATATGAGTTCATAATGTTGATATAGACCAAAAATTATGAAGTTTGACTGTAAATTGACCAGAGTTGACTTTTTCTCCAATACAGCTGATTTTTAGGTCAACTGATCAATTGACTGAGCAAAAATGTGATCCAAGACTTGAAACTTGACATGAGCAATCTTGAGGTTCCAAAATGATCCATAAAAGTCATATGGAGCATTAAAAGTTCAATTGTCCTTGTGCAATCTCAAACCCTAATTTTCAGTCATCAGTGCTAGAGGAGGTGTCTTGAGCTGATCAATCCTTGTGCAGTCTTGAACCAAAGGAGATCTTATGAGAGATTTCTTGAGAAATGAGAGAGAAAATTTTGGGGTACAACACATAGGTAGTTGAATTTCCTCATGTAACAAGTATTATGCTCACAACCTAGGAAAGATAGTTCCCCTTACCTACAAACCCTAGGAGTATGATCAAGATACATTACGTCACACTAAAATATAAAGTCAAGAAAGGAGAATAACCTAAATTGACCTTCACTTTCTGTTCGCCACGATTTTCCACTAATGAAAGCTCGACTCAGGCCAAGAAATAGCTCAAAAATCCACACACAAAGGTCTACTATGGGATCCAAGACCAAAGTACGACAAACAAATCGCATTAGGCCGAGTCTACTCCCGATAATATAACAAGATAAATGACCAATCAAAAGAACTCGAAACTCAATAAAAGTAAAGTGACATAAATATCGCGAGAGTTTGGGTAAGTATGAAATAAGATCACAAACAACACCTCGACTATGCAGAACCAGACTCGAGGGACAATTGTTCCTACCCGGTCCATAATCATTTTCACGGTCTAAAGATGTTTGAAGCCCGAAAGATCAAAGTCCGATAAAATAAGGGACGTTCACACTGGTATACTCTAATGACATCAAACCAATAACATTAGAAGACGAAATGTCGTATCCACAAATGCAAACCAAAAGAATGTTTTAAAACCTCATGAACACGCATGAACCTTCCATAGAAAAACACTTAATCAAGACAACTGATTGAAGGAAGACTATCAAATGACAAAACAAATTATACACTGACATTTGTTCGTCCGAAGATTTCAAGCCTCCATAAACCTTAAATAAACTCTTATATAAAGAACCACAAACATCAAGTTATGATACATACAAATTTCTAACCTAAATACATTTCACATTCGATAATCACTAACTTAATCATTATATTATTTACATGTACCTCTCTCGTTCTGCCCATAGCAACAAACAATAGGAAATCCTTGTTTCCAAAACTGTTTGGACCCGACTAAGTTCACAATCAATCAAGTAAACAAATTCTGGCACGAAAGATCAAAACATAAACAAAATAATAAGAGCTAAAATGAAGAATAATATGAGACATACTAGTATTATAAATAAAACACAACGAAAAAGAAGTACGTACTTCTTTTTTCAAAGGCAAAGCATGCTTGATAGAAATAATTATTTTCCCATACAAAATCAATTAACTGGATATTCACATTACTGTACGTTGCTGTCATTGTGAAATCAAATAAGAAATGCTTACATGCCTATTCTTTGTCCAAACGTGTCGACTACCGATCCACTGTACTAGAATTAATTCCTGTCAACACATTCATTCGTACGTGAAACTGTCCCTATAATATTTTAAAATGTTTCAAATCATTCTATTGTTTATATTCTCAATTTGTCATTATTATACACATTATTCTACAATATATATGTCTAGGAAATTTATTAAGACATTTATTAGCATTTTTCATAATTTTAGTTTCTAGCTAACTTGTTATAACAACATTAAGAACACTTTAATGAGATGATATACCCAAATGAACACTATTATTATTATAATATATTGACATGAGACCTACACGTGCATGCAACATATAGATATACCCAACTTGCAACATGTAATCACATGACATAGGACCATAAATCACCATTACACTACACCTATCTATTCTTTTCATTGTGGCCCCAAAACAAAAACCATGTGTTGCCAACTGTTTTTAACCTAGTTGAGAATCTAAGGTCCCACTATTACCACCCTCTTCTTTCCCTTAATGCTATGTTAATAATCAACTTAGAAAAACATTACCTTTGTGTACTTGTCTTCTTTTTTGCCAACTTTGTGTTTGTATTGGTGGCCATTCTCCAAGTTTGCTATACTTGAAATTATTATAGTATATGGTCTATATCATCATGCTCATCAACTTTCCTTTTACAACTAAAAACATAGAGCACCATCAATGGTTTTTAGCTTTCCACGTGTCAACCACCTTCCTTCAACTTACAAGTTAAGTATCTCTACCACAAATTTCAATTTTCTTCTGTATCAACACTTGTGCTAATAAGATCGAGATCTAATGAACTTTAAATATATTTAATTTAAAAAAAAAAATTAAAATAGTAAACTTAAAATTTTGTCCAATCAATTCATAATTCACAAAATAATAACGATACACATCACAATAATCATAATGACCACAAATATAACACTCGTAATTACAATTACATTTTGTAATCGCAACCGTAATTTAAAACTATCTAAACTCATAAATTTGATGAGACGTCCTCCACTAATTAAAATACTAATCCCCAAGTAACAATCAAAACTAAACCATACCCCTTCTTTCTCTCTTTTTCCACACACAATTAGAAGTGATTTTTTTTTACCTTGTTATAATTATTGTTCCTTTACAAATAGATAAGGCCACAATTAAGAAATAGGAGTATTAGATATAGACACATTCTTATAAAGAAAATACATGCTCACTTCTTCTCACCTTCCTAGCCCTTTCCTTCTATCAAACCAAACCACTCTCATTCATCAACTCCTTCTTATTAATTTCTTTTCTTGCTCTTAAATCAAAGTGCCAAAAATCTTCACTTTTTTTTCCATCTAATTCCATAGAAGAAAATCCTTATTTTAGAAAGGTGAATTAAGATATGGGTTTGAGTTCTAAACAAGTTTCTAGTAGAGGTGTTGATTGGAACCAAACTTTGTTACAAGATCAAAACTTAGAACTACCAAAAGCTTCACCTATGAGAAAACAACAACAACAACAAAATCATCATCTAGAAGCTGTGAATTGTCCAAGATGTGATTCTTCAAACACCAAATTTTGTTACTACAACAATTACAACAAGTCTCAACCTCGTCATTTCTGCAGAGCTTGTAAGAGACATTGGACTAAAGGTGGAACTCTAAGAAATGTTCCTGTTGGTGGTGTTAGAAAGAATAAAAGAGTCAAAAAATCAAGCTCTACAAAAACTACTATTAGCACCCCCAGAACTTCTATTACCACCCCCACCACCTCAAATACCAAAACCACACCTTCTATGTATGAATCTCTCATTCATCCACCATCTTTTTTTCCATCTCATAATCTGATGAGTACTAGAGATTCATCAGAAGGTAATAATGAAGAGTTTGGTATTGGTAATGGTATCTTTCTGAGTTCATCTATGGATTTACCTCAAAACCAAAGTCTCATATTCCCATTCTCAAACTCAAGCTCTTTGAGATCATCCAATGCATATAACTATGGTGAAGAGTTAAAAGTCATGGAAGATTCAAATATCAACAACACTATAATGCCAAGTACTAGTGGTGCTGGTGCTATTACACAGCCATGGGAGAGCATTCCTGCAGCAGCAAGTAGTGGCATGGACATGTCAAACTATTGGAGTTGGGAAGATATCGATTCTTTGGTCTCAACTGATCTTAATGTTCCTTGGGATGACTCTGATATCAAACCCTAATATCCTGATATCCAATAGTGTTTTAAAAACCGAACCAGACAATTTCATCCTGATTCGAGTCGGTTAATGTGGTTGAACCATGATCTAGAATTCTGAGAGTTCAATTTTTAGTGTTTGTTAACACATGCTAGTTTAGTTTCCAATGTCTATAGAGTAGTTATTTAGTTGGGGTGTTTTTTTGTGTTTGATACATATTAGTAAGTGTTCTTGTTTTCAGATGGAACATATTATGCACCGGTGTATGAGTATCTACTGCACCTGTATTTTTCTTATGAAGTATTTGAAGCTGACTTATTTTAGTTTCAGCTTCAGATTCAAGTAAGAAGGTCTAATTAATTAATGTAATCCATTGTGTTTACCTATTCATTTCTCTTTCATTTCATATGATAAATTGGTGTGAGACTCATCATTGAACGTATGATCCTGTCATGTCTCTTGGTGTCAAATATTTACACTCTTAAATTGTAATTAATAATGTTGAAATTATGTGTCGAATGGTTAGGGATCGTCGAAGCAGTTTGCTTGATAGATTAGATTTATTTTAGATTTAGATAGATTTAATTTAGATCTAAAATAGAATAGATTTGATTTAGTTCCAAAAAAGGTATTTTGGGTTTTCATAGTTTTGAGTTTTTGCATAGAAAGCAAGCTAACTTAAATCTATAAATATAGGGAGTAACTCTTATTTTTGTAATCAAGTCAATTTTTTGTGTTCACAGAATTTGCAATTGCAAATGAATAATAAAGTTTTCCATAATTTGTGGACAAAGAGAACTCTGCCTAAAATTAACTGTCTTGTTTCTTTTCTTTTCTTTTATCTTAATTCACTGTCATTGTGTGATGATGTCAATCTTATTTATCAAGATTGGTAGAAATACATCATAGATATTTGGTGGATTTTCAATAGACACTAGTTAGACTCTAAACACATTTTTAATATGAAGTGTTGGTATTGATTGAAACACACTTTTTTTAGTGTTTCAAACCAATGTACACCATTGTGTAGCGGTAGAAATGTTGAGAGTAAGTCATTTGATTGACTTAACTCGTACAAATCAAATATAAATCGTCACCGTACTTTATTGTTTCCAAAGGAAATGGAAAAATAGGGGAATAATCTAGGTACGGGGGTTGGTTATGCAAAGGAAAAGTATTAACACCCTAAACATCTACGGTACTCCGCATGAACCTCTTTGAAAATTTGTATATTTTGGCTATAAAAGGTGTATACAAAATAAGAAGGTGGAGATGAGAAAAGAAGTATTTTTTTTATACAATTTTACACCCGCCGCGGTGGAGAACCTTTAATGACTACGTACCACATTCCGTGCAATAAGAGATCAAGGTACTCGTAGTTCACCTCAAAAAATTTAAAACACGTGTGTGTTGGTTAATTTTAAGAGAAGAGACATCGTCGTCATATCCGAGTGGAAACATACTTACTATCCACAATTATGAGAAAGAAGAATTTGCATCATCTCAAAGGGGAGGATATAGGTTGGATTTAAAATTCATCACTTAACACCCAAGTGAAAAATAGCTCTCTTCACTACATATTGTAGAAGTATAATATATTGTGTCACTACAAGAATCAACAAGAGTCTAATCTTTTGAGAAAAATTTTAAAGTAAAAAGCTAAAGTGGAAAAATGGTTTGAATGAGGTTAATTGACTTTTAGTTTTGAGAAAGATGTCAAAGTATGATTAAATTGATTAAAGTTTGATTAAGAAAAGATTTTTGAAAACACATGGACCTAAGTCCAAGTTTATTATGAAAACAGTTCAAGTTAGAAAACAATAAGAGTTTTGAAAAGGAGGGAGAAGATTTTTGAAATTAAAGAAGATATGAGGAGATGGAGAGACTATCATAAAGCATAAGTGTAATACGGTGGAAGAACGAACTTTACTGGTTTTACGTTTTCATTGTAAATGTTTCGGTTAGCAAGCGTCGCCACCGGGGAATTACAGACCATAAATGGGGAAAAATATAAATGTCCTAAATTAAGCTATTACAACCCTTTGTTTAGTTACAACTATTCAGGAAAATAATTTGAAAAAAGTAAACAAACGCGCGGAGAATGGAAAAGAGAAAATATCTAAAATCTTAAAAAAATTCTAAATATAAGAAAAAGTCTTTCTTTTTGGTATTTTTATTGTTTAAAAAATGAAAAATGAATTATGAAGTCCTAATTCTACTTAATTTTAAATTAATAAAGTAAACTTAGAAGGGTTAAATTAAATTAATTAAAAATAATAATTTAATTTAAAAAACATAAATCTAATATTTTTGTGGTTTTTTGATTTTTTGATTTTTTTTTTAAATTTTATGATTATATAAAAAAAGATTAAAGAAAGTTAAATAAATAATTTAAAAAAAAAAGATGAATGGGCCAATCATGACATTTCATTCTGTCACACCTGTGTTGACCTCCTCTGCGTTTTTCAAACCACCATGGAGGATGGAAAACACCATCACTCCGATGGGGGGTTTTCTTCAAAACCTACAATATCAATCAAACAAAAAAAAGCAAAACTCTAGATCCATTATATCGGTCCTTGCGATCTCAGTGATGCTATTAGTTTGGCCTAAAGACGCATGTAACGTGAGATTCAAATATTTAAAAGCTTTGTGCCCTAACCATGGCACGATCTTATTTCTGCATCAAGACTCACATGTAAAACGTCAAATACATTCCAATGATGCATATGAACAGATTAATTATGTCAGCTGTGGTTAATAATGCTTGAGATCAAAGTTCTGAATCTTCACCACACTTACCAACCGAAGTGAATGGAAGGAGGCATTTTGGACTTGAAAGGGCTTGGTTATGAGCGTGGTTCAATTCCTGGAAGCCTCAGGAATGTGATTTAGTCGTTTGTTTGGATTGATAGCGCCTGGAAATGTAGTTACGAATTTTTACAACATTGAGAAATTTTGCGAATTTTTGGGAGCTTTTGGAGAGCTTTTTGGAGATCTTTTGGAGAGATTTTGAAGAGATTTTTGTGCAAATATTTTGTGGTCCCTTTGTCCTTCCTTGTAGTGCTTTATATAGAGGGAAGAGAGGAGTAGATAAATATGGAAGGAAAACCAAGCCATGATGGCCTTTGAGACAAGAATAAAACACATTCAAAGCTTGCCAAAAATGAGTGATTGTTTCCCTTCCTTGATGTTGCATGAACCTGGACATTTGTGATGTACCTTGCACAAATTAATGGGCTCCAAAGTGGATCAAATCCATCCCATATGCATAGCCCGTGATTTTCTTTTGATTTTATTCAGTTTATTTGATTTTAAATTAAATTAAATCAAGATTTATATGAATAAAAATCAAATCCATATATAAATGGACTTATAGGTCCTCTAAGATGTTATGGACATGTTTGAAGTCCAAAAAGTAGGCTCATTGGTTCAAATTTGCAATTATGTTCAATTTGCACTTCATGAATTTTTTAAAAATTTCCCAACTTGTGAAACTCATAACTTGCTCAGTTTTTATCTTTTGAAGATGATATTTGACTTCTTGGATAGTTAAAGATGTCCTCTAAAATATCTATGTTGATCATTTTTGCTTTTGAAGACATTATCTTTATGTAAGTTGCCTTGACAAAAAGTGTCTTTTTGTTGATCTTTGAAAATGACCTATAATGTATGAGATCATATCTTTCAAATGAAGCATTTTTTAGACTTCAGAATAAAAGCAAAGTTGTAGAGAATTGAATTTTCTTCAAAATGATATTTGGTTAGGGAAAAGTTGATGAAGTATGTGAAAGTTATGTCTGGTCAAAGTTCAGTTAACTTCTCCTAAGGAAACCTTAATTTGACAACTCTTGACTTTTAATGATTTGAGGGCTTTCCTTGGGGAATCATGATCAACCCTTGATCAAATGATGGATATCACTTCAAAATGTTGATGTTGACCAAAAATCTTGAAGTTTGACTGTATGTTGACTTTTTGACCAATACAATTGACTTTCACTTATTTAAGCTATTGATTGAGCAAACTTGTGATGTAGGGCTTCAAACATGACATGGACCTTGTTAAAGACCTATGAAGAACCATGGAAGCCAAATGATACCTTTGCATTCCAAATTTCCTTGAGAAACTCCAAACCTTAGTTGCAAGCCTTTGGCGTAGGAGGAGTATCTTGACTAGTCAACCCTTGAGTGTCTTGGGTATTTGAGAAGCCTTGAAAGAATGTCTTGAAGAAAATGTGAGGGAAACTTTTGGGGTTCAACAGCCGCCCCTGTTCGATTTTCTTAAACCTGACGAGTGAGATTGACATGTTCTCCATTCGTGACTTGAATGTAGAAGATGATTGAACACTTAAGTGCCCAGAAATTTGCACTCGCTTGTGGAAGAAGTGACGTTGTTGGTCGATTGTATAGGGAATGGCTTATAGATGTAATTTTGAGAGGTTACAGAGAGTTGTCAGAGATGGGATCATAAATGCCATCCAAAATAACAGTTGACTTCAATTGGAAGAAGTATCTTAATAAATTTTTGGTTGATTTAAACTGAACTAGAGAAAGGACTACTGGAATAGCATCAGGATAAATCATTGGTTGATTTAAACTGAAACAACAATTGTCTGTACTAAAATTTAATTGGATAAGAATCAAATAAATATTTGAGAGATTTAAGCTGAACCAGAGAAAGGTATTGATTGTCTTTAACTGGATAAGAATTAGAATAAATCTTTGGTTGATTTAAACTGAACCAGAGAAAGGTCTACTGGAAAAGCATCATAATAAATCATTGGCCGATTTAAACTGAACCAACAGATGCCTGTATGTAACTTTAACTAGATAAGAATCAGGATAAGTCATTGGGTCGATTTAAACTGAACCAGAGAAAGAGTCCAACAGAAAAGAATCAGGATAAATTATTGGTCGATTTAAACTGAACCAGCAGAGGTCTTGAATTATCTTTAACTGGATAAGAATCCGAAAAATCTTAGGGTCGATTTAACTGAACCAAAGAAAGTGTCTACCGGAAACGA